CTGCTTAATTAGTCCATTGCCCCATTGTTTGCTGCCTTTGTTTCGTCAATAGATAGAATTTCGCTACCACGCAGACTGCGAGCTATCTGCACATGTTTAAAATTACCGGACTTGGCAGTATTATTTACACAAACAAAACACATGCTATGTATGCTCACCTATAATATTGCTTAATCAGGTGTGATAATTCAGGTGTGTTATCTTCAAGTAATATTGCATCTGGCACATTTCAATTCAAACAAGTGTGAATTTGACAAACTGCACCATACACTTAATAATTTTATTGCTCTAGCTCCGCGCTCTCAGATACATGCATACATACATATGTATGTATGTATAGTTTTCGCTAATCGTTTCTAGATATTAAACTTTTTAACTTCGGACGATAGAGGCTATCTGATTTATCACGTCTCCATGGGCTTATGTACTAAATATTTAGTTTTTGGTTATATACGCGAAATTCAAGCACCTCGAGCATTTGTTCTTGCACCATTTACAGTTTTGAATGGCCAATTGGTTTGCGTTCATGCCGACAGACCAAAATACAATATACCACGATACACAATGTACAAAATCAATACACTCTTTATATTCAGCAAGCGAGTATTAAGCTGGAATATTAACTAACATTAGCATATTAGCTAAGTCAAGTAATTTAATACACAGGCTTTATATTTGAAGTGTTAGCTTGATCAATTGCACGATCTGTTTTGATTCTAATAGGGATGTGCGTGAGTGATTAGTCACCAATATATCGATATGTGGCAATTAACGATATACGTTTATATCCTGCCAGCTTTTGATTACTTGAAGTGCTCGCAATTGTCAATTTAAATTGTGTATTCAAAAGTTTAAAGTACATAGAGAAATGTATTCATACAATTTTTCTTAGAATACAGAATATGCAGTTAAGCTCTACATATGTATACTTTTAGCATCATCTGAATAACAAACATCTAAAGCAGCTAAGTCTCTAAGAGCATGTGCATGTGTGGGTGTGTGTGTGCGCTCGCATATTTCATTACGTTGCGTACATACAATACGTAATAGTGCAGCTCGTAGCATCCGAGCAGCTGTAACGCGGGCTGCATTGTGGGGTCGAGGCCATTGTTGTGATTGGGACAACCGAGTGATTGGCGATTGTGAAAGGATTCTGTCAGCTCTGAAGGGGCGATTGCAATTTTTCTATTCACATTTAAATTGGCAATTCGTTTGGCCGTGGCTTTTGTGTGTTGACAGTCACTTTTTAGTTCTTTTTATGTTGAGCTTTCCTTCTTTTTGGATGCGCTGCGTTGCGACAATTTGCAACGTGCCTGGCATGCAACGGAAGTGAACGCGCTACGTGGGTGCCACAATGCTGGGACTAAACTGTTGGCATTGTTGCCGCTGCTGTTGCTGCCTTTTCTAATGTAATTGCAATTGTTTGCCGGGCTGCCAAATGGTCAGCAGCTTTGATTTGGCCTTTGCAGCTGCACTTTTTCAACTTTTTGCAGCACGAAGCTGAAGGCTCAGCATTTTTATGCATGCCAGGCGCATTTGTGCGCCATTAATTGCTTCTTTATGCTCAGTTGCTGCTCTTGCTATTGCTGCTGCTGCTCTTGCTGCTGCTGCTTCAGCTGCATGTTCAGCAATTATGCAGCGACAATTTTGCATTAATTGCTCCTTTGTGCTGCTGGCCAGCAGCCCAGCCCTGCGTGCCGACTGGCCGACTGGCCGACTGTGTGGACAGCGTGCCTACAGTAAAAAAGCCAACTAAAAAAGGAGCCTGGCATTGTGGCGAATGCATTTGCAGCTCCAGCTCTCGCGCTCTGAATGCCGCTGCTCAGTGCTCGGTTTAATTGCTGACAGGCTCATTTGCCGGAGCACAGGCTCCGGGCATAACTTTTATATGCAGTCCTGTCCAGTCCTGTCCTGTCCATGGGCCATTTCATTAATGCAGTATGACAGCTCTTTATCGCGCTTTTTGTTATTGAGAAAATAATTTGTGAAACGAAATGTCATTTATTCTGCAGGGTAATTTCGTATTGTTATTGTTTTTACTCTATTTGTGCACGAATTTCGAATTTTAAGACCAAGTCCATACCATATTCCAGCGTGAATATCAGTATGCATAAGACATTGTCATCTATGATTCCACTTAAAGCACTCGGAGGCAGCCCCATTGGCATGCGATAAGCTGTGCATATCCTTCGCACTGAAGTGGGAATGTCAAGGCATCAGTATCTCTGGCTGTCGTCATCCTTGCCATCCAGCCTGCTGTCAAGCAAATGAGGTATAAGCCGGCTGGAGGGGGGCTGTGGTGGTTGGTTTCGCCTCGTTTCGCCTCTGCGTCTCGCCTTGACTTAAATGCGATTTAATGCCTTTTTTGTTTGTCTTCCATGCGTCGGATATCCGTTGACGCAGTGGGCGTGATAAACCACAGTGAGAGTAGCAGAGCAGAGTAGAAGAAGGCGAGGAATTCGAAGCAGGAGCAGGAGCCGGAGCAGCCTTGTCTGACGGCTTCATTCTCTCGTCCCCATGCCGTGGTGCGTGCCGCGACTGGGTCGCTAATTTGCTTGGCGTTTTTTATGTCTCATCTTCGCCTTGGCGTCTTAATCTTATATCCTTTTTTTGGCTGGCTTGGCACTTAAAAAATGTAGTCCTTTGTTGGGCCGATAAAACTGCTTACAAATGCTTAAAAAATTAAAATTTATTACACGCGATTATGTGCCACACTGGCAGCAGCTGCCAGTAGCAAAAGGCGAAAGCTTAGAAGTCAAGTCCCTACAAGCTTTCACTGCCACTCCCCCTGCCACTGCCCCTCCCCCAGTCGCAAGCACAAGAGATGCAAATGGAGTGCCATCTTTTTCGGTTCGCCATATTTCCGGCCAGTGGACATTGCCCAATTGATTCATGACCCCACAATATCCTCTGCGTAATGGGTAATGGGCAATGGGCAATGGGCAATGGGCAATGGCCGAGGCTACCTTAAAGCGCCAACTTCAGCAAAATAATAACAAGCGGCAAAAAGTAAATATCAATATACTACTTCATAGTAATAATGAAGCGCCGGGGCCAAAGAAAAGTGCCACGCCAACGCATGGCAAAAAGAAAATATTTCTTTTTATCGAAGCGGATGTGAGTGTGCCAGGAATGAAATAGCAGAAGAGACAGAAAATAGAAAAATGAGAAAGGGCGAAAGGCAAAGGACGAAGGACGTGGGTAAGGGTGACGTCGTTCCAAATAAATAAAACAAAAATTTGTACTACACTGCGGGCTGTGTGCGCGGGGAGGGGGAGAGTTATCTGAGCTACTACTACTCCCACTGCGGCCTTTGTCACCTCTTCATGCACGCCCACAGAGAGCAGGATGGTTCGCCCTTCCACTCCCCACTACCCACTCCCCCCTCTCCTCTCTCCCATCTCTTTCTGGCAACCGCATAGAGCAAATCAAACAACTTTCATTTCACACGTTTTTCGTTTGTCCTTTGCGCGCTCCACTCGCAGTTTTTGTTTGCCTTGAAACAAGTGACTTGAGAGAATGAAATTGAAAGAGCTCCTCAAGTGTGAGTAGTGGCTGTGCGTGTGTGTGTGTATTGGTATTGGCATTTGGCATTTGGCATGAGTGCACGTGTCCTGCGCGTGTCTGCTAGTTTTGATAGCCATTGACTCCTGCCGAGGAGGGCTGTAAGTAGTTGACCCGTTAAATTTTGATAATTGATTTGCCAGCCATTGTTGTCTCTGGCTGCTGGCTGAGGGAATCCGCAAACATCTTATGCGAGAGCAATACGGAATATTTATTGTTTTCATTTCCTCGGTAGCTCATAATCCATCAGTTCTAGGCAAGAGAGCGTTGCATACATCTAGGCTACGCCCAACCAAGTGTTAACTAATTATTTACTTGAGCATGGCTATCGCTATATCACTTAATTACCAGATCTTTGGCGCTCGCCTGCAGATTGACAAGCTCATTCAAGAAATGCCCTCGTCTGGCTTCCGGTCTGGTCCATTCTGTTCTGTTCTGCTCTATTCTCTGGCTGGGGGCTTATTGTCCTCAGCGCCTTGTGGGCTGGCTGGCAACTTCATTGGGCAAATATTTTTGTAGCATTTCGTAGTGTTTCGCACAAGTGATTTGCACTGTGACTGTGAATGTGACTGTGACTCGACTCGGGTGAGGTCAAATACAAATAGAGAGGGACTGTCTTTATTGCCGGGTCTCTGGGTCTCGGACCAGGACACTATAAAAACGACCTTGGGGCAACAAAAGGCAGCCAGACGTGAGCTCTCATTCGCTTTTGATCTGTCTCTTTGTGTGTGTGTGTGTATCCCTGTGTGTGTGCAGACAATCAGCGCACGACTTTTGGCTGCCGGGTTGGAGTTGCCAGGCCGAGGGTGGGGGCTGCACTGGTGGGGGGTTTTGCTCTGTGGGCAGACGTCGCGCGTTCGCTTTCTTATCAGGACTTTTGCTGCGCTGCAGCGTGGCATTTGTGTGAGTTTTATGTGCGGCTTTCGAGCTGGTTATGATGCTGTCGCAATTGCCATTCGGCGCGCCGCCCTGGCCACCCCCGTTGCTGGCAACTGCGGGCCGCTTCTTTGTTTTGGCTGTCAGCTGAAAAGGTGTCAATTGTTTTTTAGATGGGCTAGCGAGTGAGCGCTGCTTTCCGCAACGCAACGCAGCGCCGCGCCGTGCCACGCCTCATCGCTCAACTCTCACAGTCCGTTGCATAAACAAGTGGGCGTAGTGAATCCCATTAAGCATTAAGAGTTGAGAGTGTTGAGCGTTGAGCAACCCCCTCGGTACAGTAGACAACCCCTCGAGCGGCCGGCAATTTAAACTAATAATCAACGCATCAGCAAACATTGTCGTTATTATTCACGCGCCTGTGGCGCCCCCTGGCGGTTGACTGCTGACAGATTGCCTGGCTGGTCGGGTGGTTGGCACTCGGGATAGGGATTGGTGTTGGTGTTGCTGCTGTTGCCTGTGTGTGGGTCTTACAAGTGTATTCATCAATCAGAGGGGCGTGAGCTATTTAAAAATCATTTATTCGTTTACAGTTACAATTTGCCTTTCGTTTTGTATCACATTAAAATATAGATTTTATATATACGCATATATATTACACAAGATCGGGCCAACAATATATATTATATATTTATAGATAAAGCACTAAGAACTTAGAAGCAATTAAGACTATGTGTCTAAATTATAGATTTGGGTTTGTGGTAACTGAACTGAAGCTGTCTTAAAAATTGTTCAACCTATTGATTCCCTGGGCTCTTCATTGAAAATCGATTGATTGCATATACATCGGTATACATCGGCTTACCCAAAGTCAGTTGCATCTATTCAAGAATATACTCGAGTGCCAGTTTGATAGGAACAATTTGACTTTTATTTATTTCGGTTTCCGCTCAAAATTCTGCTTTGGTTTTCTTGGTGTGTTTCGTTTTGGATAGCATATCCGATATTATATATATTTGTGTGTTGTTTATATACATATGTAGCTAAGTACCACATAACCAAAGGGAATGGTCGTAGACGTAATCAGGGAGGGGGAAACAGAAACACGCAACGTAAAACAGAAACACACAAAGATTCAGCTAATACTAGGGTCCTACATAGGTAAGTGGGCAGCTCTGAAGGCTGCTACCAGTTGGGGTGGGGCGGGGTGCAAGGGGTCGCTGCGAATGCTCCAAGTCTAGACCGCATGCTCCGCAGCGGCAGCGCCGTAGCGCAGGGGAGTCGGTCAAATAATGTTGGGCGGCGTCGTGGCCAGCGCTGGGACGACGGCGACGGGCGAGGACTTGGATGACTTGACACAGCCGTAGGAGGAGATGCCTGTGCCGCTGCTGCTGGGCGGCGAGGGCGGAGTATCGGGGCTGATCAGCGGCAAGTAGCGCCAGGGATGATAGATGCTGCCGGCGTACATCGCCTGCAGACGCGCCTGCAGGTCCAGCGCCAGTGTTGGGTCCAGCGGATAGTGCGCCAGCCCCGGGAAGCCGCCGGGCACGCGCGGCAGCGACAGCTCCAGCGGGGACCCGAAGCCATACTTGGCGGCCAGCGAGGTGGGCGAATGCGAATGGGAGTGCGAGACGGCGGCAGCGGCAGCGGCAGCAGCCACTGCGCTCAGCTGCGCATGGTGATGGTGGGCGTGGGCGTGGGCATGGGCGGGATGCGGGTGTGGATGATGCGGATGGTGGTGATGATGCGGCAGGCCCTGTGCATGTGGCGAGTGCTGCGGCTGGACTGGCTCCTTGCCCAGCTGGCCAGCGACCGTCAGTCCAGCGTTGTTGCCTGAGCCTCCGCCTGCGCCTCCGCCCCCACTGCCACCCGGCACCGGGGACTTGTTGAGCGTCTTGGGCTTGCGTCGAGGCCGATACTTGTAGTCGGGGTGCTCTTTCATGTGCAGCGCGCTGTAAATTGAGTAAATGTTGAAACATTGATCAAAGATCGGGCCACGGCGGATCGATATTAAAGCGATTCAACGATCACGATGATATCACAAAGTCAATCTGTTGCCCAGTTCCCTCGGCCATAAAATCGAAGCCGCACAATACAGACAAGACAATTACTTGACTAAGAGATAATGTGTAGTTTTCGAAAATGTGAGTATTACGCGACTATAATATACTCTGTAATTTTCAAGAGTATTTTGAAAGTATAGTAGTTAATAAGTTATGGAGAGTTTAATAGTTACTCAGTAATTTTCAAAAGTATTTTAAGAGTATTTAGAGTATAATAGTTGATGGAATGAGTATAGTAGATTATGAGAGTAGAGTTATAATAGATTATGGATGTCAAACATCGCATATAACAATTATGTAATTAAGATGTACTCTATATATTTTAGGAGCATAATTAAGGGAATAAGAGAACGCATAGAGTGAATTTGAAAGTATTAAAGATCACTAGAATCTAGCATAAGATTCGTATTAAAGAAATTTGAATACTTCCTCTTTGTATGCGAATTAGTATTGCATCTAAGATTGAATATTAAATGAATAGAAATTATTTGAGGAAATATGTATATGTGAAACACTCTATCACGTCCAGCTCGTACAGGGTATATTGACTGAAGCCAAAACCCTTCCATAAAACCCTTCCTGCAACACTGAATGCTTATCTGATTCCATTTAGCAAGGCAGTGCTTCTAAAGTTCTCGAGCTCTGTAAGAGTTCCCAGGTGCAACAATGCGCAATTGTTGACATTTGTTTGACTAACGATGAATGCTGATAAAAGGTGTGTATTATGGTGGTGTTGTTGTTATTGTTGTTGTAGTTGTTGCTGTTGTTGTCACTTTTGCTTTCTTTGCCTTGGCTTTGTTGCAGTTCCCATACCCTAATTGGTCAGCCCTGTTATGTTATCTCTGCCCGAAAAATAAGTGAAAGAAGTAAATTTAAAAGTGGAAATCGAAATTGAAATCGAAATTGAAATTGAAATGATATGCGAGTGTGCCGTGCGTTATCGACGCGTCGCCTCGCACATTGGCAAATATTTGAACAGCATTTCTTGTTTTCGAGCGCGATGGTTGTCTTTTATTTATATATGTACATATACATACACATACATATGATATTTATATATGACTTCGGCTGCCTTAACCAAAAAGTTAGAATGGCCATTAGGTTAAGCCCCAGGCAGCTCGTTCTGCTCAGGCGGCTCATTAATTATTGTCAGTTAACATTTACACAGCCAATACAATCAATAAAAGGACTTAGACAGTGCAAACATTGCTCACTTATCAGACTCTCTACTCGTATATATGTATATCGAATGCAAAATGCAGAGGCCCATTAAAAGTATCTATAGAGCTGTAGTTGTTTGCCCAAGATATGCCAATCGAGTGCGGACCGACGCAGAGCTCCAAATGCTACTCAATGCCACTTTGGAGCCCCACAATAGCTGCCCATTGTCTTAGCTAATCGCTCAAATTGTAACCAGACAACAAACCCACTTGCACGCACGCACACACACACAAACGCACACACATATACATGCATACTCACTCACCGTAAACGCTTGGCCTCATCAATGAATGGACGCTTCTGTGATTCGGTGAGCAACTTCCATTCGGCACCCAAACGCTTCGATATCTCTGAATTGTGCATTTTGGGATTGTCCTGCGCCATTTTGCGTCGCTGGCCCCGGGACCACACCATGAACGCGTTCATTGGTCGCTTAATGTGGTCATGATGCGAACTGCCATTCGAGTTGGAGCTGTGTTGTTGTTGTTGTGGCTGTTGTTGCTGCTGCTGTTGCAACTGCTGCTGCTGTAGTTTAGGCACCGCTGGAGGCGGTGGTGGCGGCGGAGTTGTGGCCGCTCCGATTGTCGTTGGCGGTGAGAGGCTGCTGCTGTGGTGACTGTGACTGCTGCTGCCACTGCTCGTGTAGCCATTGCTGTTGTGGTTGTGACTGTGGTTGTGGCTGTGACTGTGGCTGTGATTGCGGTGCAGCAGCGCCGAGATGCTCGTCATGGCTGTGCACTGGGGCTCTGGAGCTGGTTGCGTCAGGTGAGTGGCCCGATTGCCGGCTGCCGGGTTGTCCAGGGACTCCACTGCGGTGCACTGACCGTTTCCCCTGTGTCTCTATGCGCAGAGATGTGCTGGAATGCTGGAATGCAAACGGTAATGGAGTTCAATAGATATGCTTTGTTCGTGCCGTGGCATCGCATCGCTTTGCAACGCAAAGTGGCAGACCTGGACTGTGTGTGTGTTCAGTTTTGTTTTGGGGATTGGCGAGGGGCTACTTCAATAGATTCCGTCACAAAATGCGAGGAGGGTTAAAGCTGGGCATGAGTAAGCGCTCAGGGAAAATAATAATATCAAAGTCGAGCTATATATTAGAGGCGAAGCTTAGTACTTTTTAAATAATATTCATGGATACTCAAGACAGGAAACTCCATTGGCAACCCCTTTTTATGATGTGTTTACAGACCAACTGTGAATCATACAATAATAAACAAATATTTGGAGACTAGTAGTTTTTATCAGATACAACTAAGCAAATAGAGATAACATTAATTATTTAAAATTCAATTAAATAACAATTTTCATAAGATGTTTAAAGGAAGAACCCTGTGATTCTAAGAACCGATAAGTGTTAGCTGGATTTTCTAAGCGACTTACTCTTAAAGACTTCAAAACAATTTTGATTATTATTTATTATCTATTTTCATCATATAGTTCCAATATTTTTGAATTTAGTGAAGTGCCGGACCTACTGAGGAAATTTATCTTAATAAATATAAAATCTGATATTTCCTTATGATAATATATGTTATTATTATTTTTTAAATAATATAATTAGGAATTAGAGAAGAGTGGATAAGTATTTTAGATGCCAAATAATATTGTTTATTAATTTATTTAATTATTGTATTTTCGATATTTTAAAAGTTACTGAAGATATATAAATATATATGAGAGCATATTATTATTATTATATATTTTTCAAAAATTAAATTAGATTAAAAGATCAGTAAACATGTGAGTGCAGATCTTAGTATTAGTATAATTATTAGTACTAGTATTAGTATTATATTGAACACACCAACACCTTGACCCCTTTCTAGTATTGACTTAAAAACTCAAATTGATAGATTCCACAAAATCGAGTAATTGATATGTGTGGGTAAATAGAAACTCAATCGGTCAATCAAGCAATGTTCAAATACACATGTCAAGTGAGTCATGTGAAGCTCCCTTATCTTTCGCTGATACCCATGAATGCTCACCTTTTGTACAGTTGCGGATTTGTAGCCGTAATCCCGGGAAGGGTTAACTCTTAAGCTCGTTCAACAACACTGCTGTTAGCAATCAATGTTAAGTTTGTCAACACTTCTGATCAGTGATCTTTTGGGATATGCAGCACTAAATGTTATAATTGATTTGCATGATTTGCTTTGTGTTTTATTCAAGTTTCAATTGCGATCTAAACACTGCGGATAAGTTGGCACTTGATAAGCGCTTTTGTGCGGCGCTCGAAGCTTCGCTTCCTTTTCAAACTGAACTAACCCCGAGCCGAGTGCGTTGCCGGAGCCGGTGCGTCCGTGTCGAGTGCGCGACAGTTTTGATTTGAACCACATATTCTATGGACTAAGGGCACACTCTATGGATGGCATTCGAAAACTTGCGACAGTTGGCGGAACAAAAACGGGAAAAGCGGCAAACAAAAACTGAAAGCAACTCAACTACGAGCGTGTGTCTGTGTATGAGTGTTAGTGTGTGCCTGTGTGTGTGTGTGTGTGTGTATGTGCGGGGGTAAATTTGTTATTGTAGTGGTTGCACGTTGGCTGCTCGCTCTTTGCGCCACAGGAGCGAGCAAGAGCCAATTAGCGTGCGACAAAGAGCGAACGAGCAGCAGGCACACAGCCAGACAGAGCAAGAGAGCGAGAGAGAGAGAGAGAGAGAGGGAGATAGAACGAGAGAGTGCACGACGGGTGTTTGTAGAGTTCATTGTTGCTCGTGTTATTGTTGTTGTTACTATTTTTTGGTGCTCGTCGTCGCAGCTCGGAGGACGCGAAGACGGCGCTGGCATCGCCAACGCGGCGGCTAAGTGATAAAAAGTTGCTGCCTCTGCTGCTGCTAGCTGCTCGCTTCTCGCTGCTCGCTGCTCACGTTTCTTACCTTCTGCATTTTGCATTTGTGTTTGTATTTGCATTTGTTTTTGTGTTTGCTCGCGCTGTCAATAACTGTCTTATGAGGCCTGTTTCTTTCTTTTTTTTGTGTTGACCAATTGTTTGTCCTGCTTGGTCGCTCGCTCCAGGTCCGTTTACTCTCTGTGCTTCCCTTGAGGTAAGATTCGTGTATTATCATACAGCATATCATAATCGCAAACAGAGAATCCAGTTGCTTATCGAAATTCGGCCGACTCCTTGTTTGCGCCCACAATCGATCGTAAGTGCGATCAGAGTGCAAACACACGATTATCTTGTATCGTATATTCCGTCTGTATGTGTGCAATCGTAGCTGCACTCCGATACCCTTTGACTTCCATTGTTTAGGGAGGGGAGTCGCCGGCTCAGCGGCCCTTCCCGTTTGCTGCGTGCTCCACAGGAAATTCGTCATCCAAATACCATTATTTTCCACATAATTGAAGTCGTAAAATATAACAAATTTGTTATGCTTCGATTCGCGATTGGGGTCTTATAAAAGAACGCCTTTTATGGAGTAGTTTTGTTCCAGGAAATTAGAGCTCAGAGCAGGGCTCAAAACATGTTTGTTTTGAGATTCTCCACTTGATGTACGTTTGGCGCCAAAAGTGACGGAAATTTCAAACAAGTTTTCCCTCTGCAGCCTGGCGCATGCGTCGCTCTCCAAGGCGCTGGACTCGCTGTGTAGAGTTTTTCGCTAGCAAAAGGGCGGCAGGGGCGGGGAGCAGACGCCCCCACAGCCCTCGCGACATTAAAAATGGCAGCGCTATGAACTGTTGCCCACCCACCTCCGGCCACCCCCACACAGCTCCAACCCAACCCCACCCCACCCCTTGGCGCCTTTGTGCGGCTACGTTGCGCGCATGTCGACGCTCGCCTGGCGCTTCGGCCAATGACATAGACAATGCTCCGGAGGAGTGGGAGCTGTGGATGGCGCTGCGGCTGCTTAGACGCGTTCTCAATGGTGACGGCTTTTTTATCGTTTTTGTTTTGCATGCGAGCTGAATGCATTTTATTGGCCAAGGCGCAGGGCCAAGACAATGGGCAGCAACTGGTGGCCGTAGTTTTGTTTGACTTCTGCTGCTCCTCGACCCCTGCCACTCGCTCGACTGTTACTGCTGCTGCTGCCGCTGCTGCTAGTGCTGCAGCTGCTCAGTTCTGGCAAGTGTTATCGTGTCCTGGCACACACTATGCCAGCTACCATTTGTTCTCGCATAATGGACATTATGGCTGCTCTATTATGCCCGGCATCAGGACAATGAGCAGAGCGTCGTTCAATTCCGCCAACTAACATTGCGCCACTTGGACACCCGGACCCGGCCAGAACTTTGCCGGCTGCATGATTGCCATAATTTTGGGTATTTTTGAAGAGCTTTCTGTGACATTTGGCCAGCCAGTCCCTCGGCTGCTTCGCCTGAGCCGAGCCTCCGCTCATTGTCCACGGACTGCGCATTGTTTGGCTGTGCTTCAGCTGCAATAATTTATGGGGAGTCGTCGACAACGTCGCCATCACCTTCATCACCTCCATCGTCTCCATCGTGGCCATCGTTACCGCAACGCCCGCAATTTCCATGTGCGGCCGAAAGTTTTTTTAGCCCCCAAATGGAAATGTGGCTCGCTAATCGTGATTTGTGTTTTAAGTGAGCGCAGGGAAACCACTGCAAAAAGCGAAGGCTGAGTGCTGCAGCGACCATCGAAGTGTGCGTGGCAGCTGGCCAAAAGGAAATTATCTCAATGCGACAAGTTGAATGAGATGAAATTTGGATGGAATATTATGAAAAACTCTATTGATTGTATTTAAACCTAGCAGACAATAACTAACATTGTTTTGGTCAAGGATCCAAATATTTTTTGGTGGCTTTTTCCCGTTGATGGAAATTGAACCCTGCAAAAATATTTTACCAAAATTCAAAATATCTTCTCAATTAAATCAAAAAGCTGTTCACACTTAAAGCTTATCTATATCTCAAAGATATCCAAGCCATGTCCAATTTAATTTAAAAAATAATATAATAATTAAAAACTAATAATAATAATTAATATTAATTTCAGCTTCTATCACTGTAATAAGTCCTGTATATAGTCACCCCTATATCATATGTTTTATTCAATTGAATAATTGCCTAAATAGACAGATGGTAAATAAAGAATGGATAATATGTTTCGACATCATAATTAACAATATTAATAAATTTTCAACATTAGTTTTATTTAATTTATTTTTTATTTAACTATTTGAAATTGAATGCAAATATATAGTAAAATTTCCAAAACTGACTAAAATTGATAATATATTCAAAGCGTTTATAATTTTTTGATTTAATATAACTTTTAACTCTAGATGGCGGTAATCATTCATGGTGAAATAAAATTAGGTGGAAAACAGAACTCGACTCTAAGAGATAACGCCATCTAGCAGGCAGTAGCAAAACAATATTCATTACCACGCAGTTCGTTTCAAATCCAAAGTCCATTATGCGACATCTAGCGGTAGCTTATGAATATTACAAAATGCGTAAGCGCCCTCTAGGTGTCAATACATTCGTAGAGCGGTGTTAGCGCCACCTCAAGTTGAAACAGAATATGATTGCATATCAAATTAAACGTAGCTATAAATTGAAATTCATGAATTATTATTATATATATATTTTATGCGAGACTCACAATGCACCATGCAATGCTGAACCCCTTACCACTAGGGCAGTTTCGCTAATTGCGGCTGCGTTCAACTTGGCGTAAAATTAATTAAATTTACGGCGAGTTTTGCACCTCGAGTCGCACTAATTAGTGGCTAACGGTAATTTGTTTGAGTTGTTGCCGCTGCTTGAGCAAACGAAATGCGCGGCGTGTGTTTGTCAACGTGCCACGGCAGCTGATTGGCCAGAAGGAGCTGTCGCAAGAAGTTCCCTTAATTAGGAAGCGTTTAACGTTTCGCGCGCTCTTGACTTTTGTCAAGTCTACAACCCCCGCCAGCACTGCTCATAATATTTAGGGCTCCTTCAACCACCCACACTGCGGCAAGTCGGATATAAATAATTAAAAATTAAATGGAGAACAATAAAAAAGAAGTTTTGCTCGGTTTGTTCGCTTGCTTTTTTATGGGAAAACTTTGAATTAGCTGAAGGGAAAGTGAAAGAGAAATTGAATAAAGGTAGAAAAAAGCATCGGAAAAGAATTTCTTAATATAAATTGATGTTATGGAATCTATTTGAAACTGAAGGAAATAACCAAGTTTGCAAAATGCTCCCAGCTATCGCCTTACGTACATTCATTGCTTATATTCAACTTTCTCTTGTAAGGTCATATCCGGTAACTTAGCAAATGGGGCTTCTTCAGGAGCTTCAATGGGTACTATGGAATAGAAAGACATATGTGAAATGCCCCAACTAGACCCTAAGGCTTCGCTCGGTATTAGCCCTTGGTCGAACAGCCGCGACTAGCTCACTCAGTAGTTAATCATGTATTGGAATCGAGCTAATTGGTTTTGTTGTATTTTGTTTTTGTTTTTGTATTTTAATATTGTATATGTGTAGAATTTAAATACATTTAAATTTATGCTATGCACTTCGTTCAGCGTTTAAAACATAAAAAATTGCACCGCTCGTTGTTCTGCCTTTCGTGAGAATCCTCCAGCACCTGCTCCTGTTCCTTGCTGCTGTAGCTAGCTCCTGTTTCTCCTCCTCGTTCTCCCTCTCCTTCTGCATCTGCTTGTGTTTGCTGTGCAGCTGCTCTTCGTTTTAACAAAGCTTATGATTAATTTACAATTCGAGGCTTAACTGTAAAGTTGGCTACGTTTAACTTTAATCTCGCATTTCCTAAGTCATAGACAAGTTTAGCTCCTCGCTACCATTGGACGATGGTGGTCAGAAGATGACCGTCAGCGGTCGACGAAAATCAGAGGCGCCTCCAGCGCCGCCCCCACCACCAGCTGCCACTCCGGCGCCCACTCCAACGCCGGCGGCGGCACTGGCCAACTGGCCGCCATACTGCTGAGCATATTGATGGGCGTAGTCCAAGCCCACATCGCTGGGCGAGTGCAGATGCGGCTTGGCCTCCTGGCCACCCGCGTCCAGCTGGGGCGTGGCGTCGCGCTCGTCCAGCCCGCTGCTGCTGTTGTTGTTGTGCGAACTGCCGCCAGCACTGCCAGCACCGCCACCACTTGCACCGCCTGCTCCACTGCTGGCCATGAGCAGCTGGTGCTGCTGCTGCTGCTGCTGCTGTTGATGCTGCTGCTGCTGTTGTTGTTGGTGCTGCTGCTGCTGATGATGCGCCGCCGCGTGCTGCTGGGCGCCGTAGATCTTGGAAATGTCAAAGGCATAGTTGGCACGATCCTGATACATTTTCGAGTCGAAGTAGGCCTTGGTCAGCACACTGGGGTCCAGGTAGGCGCTGTAAGCACTCGCCTGGCTGCCCGCCGCTGCCGCTGCTGCATTACTC